AATAATAAATCTACAATAAATCTGATAGAAATATTATAAATAGAGCAATATATGTAGGTCTTCTTAACATAACTTTGGATAAACCAGCCATAACCATAGCCCTCTTTATTCAATATGTGTTGTATTATGGCCAGCTGTAGATACACATAAAGTTAAATGAATTTAGCTAAGTCATTAGAACCACTTTGCATCTGACTCTTTACATCTGTCTCCTCATCTATTTTTTTCTTACTCCTTTCTACCTAAAAATATTCCAGGGCTTAGAAATATTTTCAGTAACTTGAGCTGGCAATTTATTTTTATTGCTATAGCTATTTCAGTTATTTTAAAAGGAAAGAATATATTGGGTAAATAAAAACAGGGTATTTGTCACCAATGTAAGATTATTAACCTTTGTCTGGTGAAGAGATGAAAATACAGAGATTAAAATATTTGATCCAGGTCACCAAGGGAACTAGCACAAACACATGGGCCTGAAGTTATACCTTTCTCATGTTTCCTTTTCTTGGCAACCAGTATTTCATTTAGGGCAAGACTTTTTATATACTTAGTCCGATCTGAAATTACTATTTTTGTTTTACTGAAGGGGAAATTTAATTTTTTATCAAAATCATCCTGAATTCATTAGAGTATTACATAAAATGACACTACACCTTGGTCAGTCTGTTCTCTCTAGCACACAGTTGGAAGCCATGGCCAGTACATTGTTTTTCCAAAGTAAGTGCTCAAGCAGGAAGACACCCCCCCTCCGGCTATTCTCCTTACCCAATCCACTGAAAAATACTCCCTTTGAATACATTGTATTCAAAATAGGACTAGGCAGACCTATTTCTCTCATCAGGCTACATCAAGATCTCCCACGCTGTCATATACAGAAGAGATCCAGCACTAACAATACCAGTATCAAGGAGAGAAGTAGGGTGTTGATTCTTGTGCAACAAGAGTTTTCCATTAGTGTGAATTTTTTTAATTACATGCTGATAGAACCAAACCCTGTTCTGAACCTGACTCACTCTGACTCAGTTAAGTTACCTGTTGCAATTTCCAAAAGAACTTTAATACTCACTGACCTTACCTGGAAGCTTTCAGTTAGTTATGTAGGGTAAAATTCTCTTGCTATTGTCTAAAAAGTCCTACTGATTTCTGTGGCCCCTCTGTGTGATTAAGGTAATGCTTGGAAAGTCATATGTAAATCTTAAATTCTTTTGTAATGAAAGTAGTACTGATGGACTCTGAAGAATTACTAGTTACAAAAGGTCAGGGATGATGGCCTAATTGCTCGCCTGTGGATTGTCAATAGAGGTAAACTGCGGATTTTCTAGCATACACTGGCTTTTGTTCCTGATACTTTAAATTTGTCAATTTTTACAGCTTTCATCTGTGAATATTAAATAATAAATCTTAAGCCTTTCATGAATGATGTAATGAAAATGTAATGTAATGTAACATAAAACTTTCTAAGTCCATGCTTTGCCAAACAGCGTAATCATCCCTTCCACTCAAAAATATGAACTGCAATATGCTGACCCCTCTAAAAAAATTGATTCAGTAATAAAAATAACTTTTTGTGGCCCTGCACAGAAACCACACTTTTTGAACTCGGTATGTGACCTTTGGCTAAACACTTGTTTATTCATCCCTCTAGAGATGAGTAACAGCAGTTACCTCTCAGAGAAAGAGGCTTAAGACTCAAACCTGCATTCGCGTAGGCAGGGAGCTCTGCAGCTGTGCAGAGCTGCTGCTGCCTGTGCAAATGTGTACAATGCCATGGGACCTGGGCCATAGCTCTGGTGGGTGGTAGTAAGTCTGGCAACAGGCAGACTGTGATGCAGTAGCCAGGAGACACAAGCAGCAACGGATGTGAAGAGATAACCCAGTCCAAACTCACTAAACTCTAAACTGCTCAAGGAATTTTGGTGTGTTCTCTCTGTATCAGCAGGTCTTTGTGCTAGGTCAACCATAGTCTCTCACCCTCATGCTAATTTAAAATTTGAATACCATCCTTGTTGCCCACTTTGGTTACTTTGTCAAGAATGTGACCATCTATCTGTCAAGCAAAATTTGGACCTATGTGATGAGCTGGTGGTATTGAAAACTATGGCCTAAGAGAAGGGGTCAACAAGGCTATGTTTTGGTAAAATGGTAAATGCAGTGTTAAGCCAGACTACAGTCAACCCAGCTGCTGAAATGAATCTAAGTCTTTCCAATGATTCAAATACACTTTTAAAATTTTTTTTCTTGAAAGGATAATTTATGCCAGCAGACTTTCTGTTATAAAGAATCACCTGACTTTATTTTGCTGATCAGCTGCCAGGATAGAAACCTGAAGGTGACAAACACTGTGTAACTTCCTCTACCAGTCTGACAGGGTATGGCTGTGGATTTATGAACACTTTGTCATTCTGCTGGGGTGACGGGAGAGTGCAGGGTGCTGCGTCTCTGACTCTGAAACCATGATCCTGGTTCATGGTGAGCTCTGTGTTGTCAGGCTGCCCGTGCAAACTAGCCTGATAGCCCTTTGAAAACCTGGCCTGAAAGAGGAAATAAAGAGAAGGAAAAAAACAAAAGAGGCAATCAACAAACAATTGGTCTGAATCTCCCTCTCAAATCAAATCACTTTTACCACTATAAAATTGTAAGAAAAGAAAAACTATGCACTTCTGGCGAGCTTGTAGTCTGGTCCTTGGCACAGCAATGAACTCCACATGAGGCTGCAAACAGGGAAAGGGAATGGACATCTTTCCTAATAGTTGATACTGGCTCAGAACTCATAAACTAACTCACAGAGCATCTAAAGACTTGCAAAGGAGCAGTGTTATTTTTTGATTTGGCATTGCTAGAAATCAGACAGAATTTTTTTTTTTAATTATTATTGCTTTTGTCAATGAGGGTTTTTTTAAAAAAATACCTTATTCTATAAACAGAACTAATTGCATCATGCCAATTGACTACTAGTTAATCTCATCTCAAATAAAGACAAGTTTGAGATGAAGAAATCACGAGAAAAATCAACTCAAAGGCAGTTGCAATCTGGGTTTGGAAAAAGTAGCAAAGGTAAGCAATATGGCTACAAATCCCTTTGAGTAACCATTGGCACACTGCCTTCCCCTGTCAGCCCCATTTTATGTGTCCAGAGCAGGCTATAAAGCAGTTGGTATGGGGGGACATCATGTAATAAAAGAAGAGAGAGCCACTGCAATGTTGTCTTGCTTAAAAAAATAAATGGAAAATATTAAGAATTAATAACGGAATTGTTGGATTGGCAATTTGCTAGCAAGTGACCATCTCGGCATGCCTTACTCACTAAATATGGTACTTATCTGATCCAAATCAGGCAGAGGGACTGGCCTAAGATGTGTGACAGAGAAGGATGACAGCAGATGACTGCTCCAAACAGACACAGCGAGAGACATTTGCTTTCCAGCCTGCAAGTCGGGAAGCATCTGTGTAGTTAAGACTGAAGCGTTGTTACATTAACCCTTGTGAAACCATTAGCAGGGCACATAGCAAGGCCTATCTGTTTACTCAGGCCTCTAAGAGGAGGGAGAGTTGCTTTTTGGGTGTTCTTTAAGCATGAATGGTACACGATTCAATGAGGAATTAGGAAACTTCTGGTTGTTGCACCAATATTAAAGCTGTGAGGAATTGCATTTTAATATTTCAAATAGGCAGAGAGGTTAACTGACAGGCTTTGTATTTCACAAACTAAAAAGTAAATAAATAAATCAGCTAGAATGAGTTGACCTTATAATAAAGAACTAAAATTACACTTTCAACCACCATGTAACAAAAAGAATGAACAAATTATTATTTTTTAGGTATACATGCGAAGAGATAATTTTTTTTAAAACTACTGATTCCCCAAACTAGAACTAGAATTAAAACTCTTCCTGATTCCGTGCAGGAGCCTGCAGCAGTGTGTGTCAGAAGGCAGCTGTTTGTGCCGTGGTGGGAAAGCTGGGCACTGCACCTCTGAGTGCTGCACAGCCACGCACAAAACTGACAGCCCCTGTCCCCAAAGAGCTTACATTTCAAGTACATGACTAGGGATAACAGATGGATAGAGATGAGAAATGATGAAAACAATGGGATACTGGAAAGGCTGAAATCCCAGCTGCTTCCTCGGTCTCTAATATTGCCAAGTTAAAATTTCACAGTCTTACTGTCACAGCAGAGTTTACTCTGTTTTTTCCCACTGAGGAAGACGAGCAGTGAAACCTTCGTGCATGTTACAAAAGGGCTTCAGGCTGGAATTTGCTGCTGAACCAGATAGTATTGTGATAGACACAATAAAAACTGGTTTCTCCACGTCTCCTCTCGCTGCTTTGTTAATGGAAAAGTGGTTGTAGGCAGAGTTACGTGCTCAGTGGTACAAAACGGTGGAGGTTGGTGTGCTGGGCACACAGTTTGGAAGTCAGTCCTTTAACCTCTGAGCAGGGGCTGGCACTCAGTGGAGGCTTACATGGGCTTCAGGAGGCGGCCAGGACACAGTGACACATTTCCCTTGAGGAAATCGAGCCTGAGATACAGCTGATGGCTTAATGCAGCTCCCAGCCAAGAGCAGCATGACAGAAGTAATCTCTTACGGTGAAACGGCCTCCACACCCAAGGACGCTTTTAAGAGAGGGATTCAGAAATAAAAACCCCAAACGCCAACACTAGGACAAGCGTGGTTGAAGGCAGTCTTCAGTTGCTGCTAAAATTGCCACAAGGCTGTGACTCAGAGCCACCACCGAGGCGGGGTGAAGCGCCCGGCCGCCGCTCCACCAAGCGGGTCGGCCGCCGCTCCCGGGGCAGGATGCCGGGCGACTCCCGAACCACCGCCCCTCCGGACCCGTTGGAGCGGGAACTCCAGGAAGTTTCTCCTCGACCCTTTCCCAAGCAAAGAGCCGTCCCGGGGCGGGCGGGTCACAGCACTTGGGGGCGGAGCGGCAGAGGGGCGGGCCCGGCCGTGGCCGGCGGGAGGAGCCGGACCAGGGAGGGGGCGGTCCGGAGCGGCGCCGCCGGGATGGGAGAGTGGCAGGGGGTGAGTCCGCGGCCGGAGGAGCCTGGTTGCGGGTCGGTCGTAGGGGCTGCTGCGGGAGGGGCTGAGCCCGCCATGGAGCCGGTGACCAGGTGGAGCCCGAAGCAAGTGGTGGACTGGACTAAGGGTAAGAGGGCACCGGCCCTGGGCGCCGGGGGAACTTTCCGGCGGCGAGCTTGGGGGTGCCTGGTGCCGCCGCGGCTGCTCTGCCCGGCGGGGCCAGCGGGGCCTTGGCCAGCGCTAGCCCCAGCGCCAGCCCCAGCCCCGGCTGCGCGGCCGCGCCCCCGGCTGAGCCCCGGGACTGCCCGGCGTGGCGCTCGGGAGTCGGCGGCTTTCCGCACCCTTCTGTGGTGACTCCCTACCTATTCGTGCGTTTGTGCCTGCTTCGCCTTGTGGTTTTGTTGTTGTTTAGTTTTGGTTTTGTTTTTGACATGGGAAAAGGGGAAGGTTTTGAAGGGAGTTTTGCAGGGAGGATGGCTGACTCGAGGTATGCGTATATACACTGGGGTCCTAACACATGGCTCGGTCCCCTTCTCCCGTGCTCATGCTGGCCAGCCTGCTTGTATAGACAGGGGATAACTGTGCTCCTTCAGGCAGGTAAAATCGTGGAATCATAGAGGCGTTTAGGTCTGAAAAGCCCCACGTAAGTCAGCTTTCAGCTTCTCAAGCAAAACCCATTCACGGTTCGAAAAAACTTCAGGTTTGTAAGTTAAGCTAAAAGTTTATAAAGTAGCTCAAGTAAGCAAGAACTCTTAATACTGTTTAACGGTGATGGGATTGAAACGCTAGGCTCTCGCTCGGAGAGTTAAATAGCGGCCCCTTTGTCCGTCTCTCCGTCCGTCCATCTCTCCCACCCCTCATCTCTCGCGTGTATGCTCGTGTCTCGTGTATGCTTGTGTCTCTCTCTCCCCCGCCTACTAAAACTTCCTCCTCTGCTTCGAGGTTTGTTCACAGTGTTGACATACATAGCTGCGAAAGCCTCAGCGGGACTGACGTGTGGAGTCTGCCCGCCCCTGCGCCCTGGCCCCGGGGTCTCTGGTGGGACGGAGGCAGCGGGGCCAGGGGTCCTCACTCCTGCCGTGGGGATTTCGGCAGCGTTGGATGTTATCGGGTCTCTCTTTGAAGGCAAATTAATCCTCCTGCTGTCAGTTCTGGTTGGACCCTGCTAGTGCTTTCCGAATGCCGATTGGGGTATTGCTGTTGCAGTTCCCGCTCTACTGGGAATGAACCAAAAGGGAAATAAAGCTATGAATTAGGTAGGGATTTATGACTTCTGAAGTGTACGTCTCCTTTTCTTGTAGGACTAGATTTAGCATGATCCTCTTATGTTACACAAAGTATTTTCACAAGCGTTGCTGGAGTTGAAGTTCATGAGAAGTTAGGAATGTTTTCAGAGGTGAAAGTTTCCTCGCATTAGAAGCGGCGTTTACTTACAGCAGCCATTACTGCTCTGTCTCAGGACCATAATGCTGATTGGAGTGCATGCCTGTGGTCAGCACTTGGCAGTAGTGCGGCTCAAAACTGAGGCAAATTTGGAAAGCAGACTTATGTCTTCAGACAGCGAGAGATGGATACTCTCAGCCCTCCTGAGAACGTGAACATGTGCGTGAAGGAGCCAGTGCCAGTGAGGGACCTTCCAAGTAGCCTTTGTGAGGAGAGAATTCCACACAAACGTGCTGTGAAGTTATGCGTTAACATATAAATAACTTCCAGAGAAAGATCTCTCTCTTTTTTTCTTTATGCTTGATATTGGTTTAAACAGGAGTGCATTGTTCCAATGTAATAAGCCTTTTGCTTTGGTATGTGCAATATTTATATAAAGCTTTTCCCTCATTGTATTTTTTTCTCTTGGGTGCTGAAAGTTGGTTAGCTTGCCAGATCAAAGAGTAAACCTGCTAATCATTTTAAAAGCCTTTATTATACTTAAGCATGCTCGGCTTCCTTTCTTGCATAATTTATTTTACTCGCAGGTTCCTTGAACAGGTAACTCTTTAGCTGGACCCTAAATTAGCGTTATTGAGAATGATTTGAGGGCTGGCCGTAGTTGGGAGGTGAGTCTTCTGACTTATGGAAACACGTGTCCTTTGAAATGTAAAGAAATAAATTGAAGACTGCTGATGACTTTTGTTTGTGCTGTTGTTTTTCAGTTTCTGGATAAGCTTTCGACCTCTTTGGTGCACAGAGTCATTTTATGTCACTCCCTGCATGGCAAGACTGTAATAAAGAAATGAGATATGGAAAGTTTTTCTTTATGGTTCTGCTTTCATCTCTGCACATTAAAATAGACACTTTAATAGCTAGCTAACAGCCTTATTAGCACAATGTTTCATAGTTTATTTTTAATCTGAGATAGCTTTTTACTATGTAGTTCACAACTACTGGATTTCATGTTTGACCAAGACAAATATGCTGTATTTTACCTTATGAATACTACATTAATTCTGAAGGTTGGTTTTATAAAACAAGTGGCTGGAGGGGAGCTTATGCCATTTGCTTTCTTGCACATATCATCTCCGAAGAGTGATACCGTGATCCTCACTGAACTGGTCAAACTCTAGGTTAATGTACTAGGCTGGTGATATCCACTACCAGTAGTTAGTGCTGTGGTACCATGGAGATCTTTTTTAGGGACATGACGTAAATAACTGTGGTGGGATATGCCAGGTCTCAGTGGGGAGATTGGTTTTGCAGATAATGATTCTTGCTTATCATGCAATGATAAAAAATATCTTGGAGAAGTATAGAGAGTGGTGAAAATTAGTGGTCTCAATCCATTTTAATGTTCATTGTGAAACTGAGAATATTTGTCTAGGACCTGTTTTTTCCCTCCCTTCCAAATCTTTTTACAGTCAAATTATTTTTAAATAACTTTTTCAAACCAGAAAAAGTACGGAAACTTCCCCCGTTCATGAAATAAAGCCCTGAAAGTAAAATCCTGAAGTAGGCTGTAAAACTACTTCTGGACAGCTTATTTGCTTTTGGTCAACTTACTTATTTTTTTTCTTTTATTTAATTGTTCGGAACTAACTTTTTTTTAGCAAGGTAATGCTTATTCTGATGAGTTTTGCTCTGTGATTTTGAGCTGTTCACTCCTTGGTAAATACTGTAAATAGCATTTATGTAGAATTTAAAATAGAACCTATCAAGAGTTAGTAAGCAGAACATAAATATATATTTGTAGTCAGATTTAAAATAAAAAGTGCTCTGTTCATTGTTACCAACAAGAACTGATACAAAACACAGTTGCTTGTCTTCTCTTGCTAACTCAGACTAGTATGCTGCTATTTTTTGTGAACAAGGGTGTTTTTTCTGGCACAGTGCACTGTATTGTCACTAGTGGGCTGTGCAACTGGTCTAGTTAAATTGAAACTGCAGAGGAAGAGTTGTGCTTTTATTGCTAGCAATTTTCTTTGTACATGAAGCATTTATCAAGCTTTGACCAAGGATGTGATAACTTTTTAGCTACAGCATCAATGTTTGAAAACTGTACCTGATTTTCTTTTTTTTTTTTTTAAGCACCACCTCGATTTCTGTCTGGAAGAAGTGATGGTGTAGTTTTAGGTTTCTCTTACAGTGCAACAAATTCAGATAGTATTTAGAGGTCATATTTAGCCTTGAAAAGGTACGTATTTGACTAGGATGCTGTGATGATTTACTTCTGGCTGGGTTTATGCTCTTTAAACAGTATTATCTGCACTGTTTTCCTGACTATACTGAGAAGATGTGTTTGGGTCTTGATCTAACATCTGGATGGTGTTGCAGTTGACCTGTGGTCTTGCTTCTGTGCAGTCTAAGATGCCTGGGGGCTCAAAGCCCTCACCTGTATCTTGCAGCACTCCCTTGAGTGCCCACAAGCCTGAATTCCTCCAGAACTCCCCTAGAGGTATTCCTGGAGTTATTCAGGTGATTGTGGAGCAGGTGAGTGGCCATGGAAGTTGTAGGACATCTGTAGTACACTGCACAAAAGTAACTTAGTTTTACTCGTGCAGCAACAATTGGAAGGAGTCAGAGGGATCTGATGATATGGAGAAACTTTTTCAGGTCTCAGAGTCCCCTGGCTGCTGGAAACCCCTTAGCTAGGGTCATTCCTCAAAAGACGTGAGGAAGATGAAAGCTGCATTTGGCATAGAGCCTCCTGTGTGAGAAATGTCACCCTTACTAGAGAACATCACTATGCCTCTTCTTTGTTTGCTGTAGCCTGATCTGTCTCTTCCCCCTACCCCCAGGCCTCACATACTTATGTGAGTTGTAACTTCAAGCCAAATTTTACACGGTAAGAACAGTTTGACGTGCTTGTGGTTAGAAGTCTCTGTTGTTGTGAGGCTCCATTACAGTCTGGCCTTTGTCGCTGTAGCTGGAGACTCGGCTGGCTGGGGATCACGCTTCTGCTTTGGCCTCCTTATTGCACTCCAGGTTCAGTTATTCCCTTTCTTAGTAGTTCAGGAACATTACTTATTCCTGTATCTATTATATCATGAAATACTCAGATTTCCATTCCTGGTAAAGCTGTTGGACAACTACACTTATAGGTATGCCTGGGAGAAGAGGGAAAAATATGCTAATTTATTAATAGTTAGCATTTAATCGTGAGGGCCTGGTGTTCTTTTTTTAGAGCTATCTTGCTTACCCAGGGAGATTTCAGCAAGGTCAGTCGTGTTAACTGTGTGGGCTGGGAGCTGCAAACCATAGGTGGATTTTAGAAACAGCTATGGGTGATACTTAGCATTGGAGATATTCTTTTAGCCTTCCTTTTTTTTTTAGGCACTCTCAAATTAATGCCGTGGTGTTCAAATTATTTGGGAAAATCTAACACTAAGAAACCTCTGGTTATTTTTTAATACAGGAGTATTTTCCTTTCAGCGGGGAACAGCAGGGAGAGCTGCCCATAACTGGGGCAACAGAAGAATCCCTTTTATCTGTTTTCTTGGTTACTCAAAAAATACTCTATATGAGTATTTGTTAAATAGAACAGAAAATAGTATTGAATAACCACTCTTTGCAGATCTGAGCTGAAATTCTGAATCTAGGTGGCCCATAATGTTCTACTAGCAGAAGGTGGGCTGAAACAAAGTAAAAACTTGCACAACAAACTTGTATTACTGCAGTCTTAAAATTATTCATGCATTG